CCCCCCCCCCCCCCCCCCCCCCCCCCCTTTTTCTCATTCGATGTCTGATTGCTGATGCTCGAACTGCTTTTGGAGGGAGCTACACTTTTTACATTACGAGGTACATGCAAAAGTTGGGCTAAACGGCTTGAGCAGGTATAACGCTGCCAGGGACGAGGATCCCGTTATTTTTTTATTTTATTTTTAACTTTGACTCGTATGTGAAATGTGATGGACGGGATGCGATTATTGACGGGGAATTGGGGGGGCGTGTGTGATCTGACGATGATGTGCGCTGTGATGGGCATTTTTAGGTTACATTTGGTGATGGACACGATTTACATGTTCTTTACGGGTACGGGTTATGTATCACAGATGACAGGTGACAGGTTGTTGTTCAAGTCACGGAAAAGTTAAAAAATCGAAAAAGGGTAGCCTGTCACATCGTAATGTGACACCGAGAATCAGAAAAAAAAAACCGATGAGACTGGATGGGATGTCGTAAAGCAATCACAGGGCTGTGGCTGCTTTTCATCATGGGAACAAATGCAGCCCCAAGTACCCAAAGAATGATGGGAGTAAAGGAAAAAAAGAAAAAAAAAATGAAGAAAAAACAAGGAGAATACAACCCACAGAGTCGTTGTATCATTCCTCGTCTGGCTGGAATTCTGTCCTTGTCCTTGGTCCTGCATGTTGCGTGGACGGAATCGTGTGTATTGGACAACGCAAATGCACGCAGTTGGAATGGAGGCAACAATATCGAAAAAAAGGAACAAGGGGGTGCCAAAGGTGCTTTGCCTTTGTATGTACAGCAGGGAATCCAGCAAGATGCGGATACGAAATGGGAAATCCTCCGTAAGGGTGTGTGTGTGTGTGGTGTGTGACTACTACTTGTATTTCTTCCCAGTCACAAGGGCCCAGATCTCGATGAGCAAAGAAAAGACAGGGCCGGAGATCAAATCAAGTCGTATTTTCATGGGTGCTGCTGCTGCTGCTGCTGCTGCTCCTTTCCCCCTTTTTACTCTGTATGAAGAAAAGTACAAGTAAAGTATCGGGTGCCGAGTACATGATGCGCCGGGGGACAGGTATGTAATGTAGTGAGACTTTTTGTGACCTTGGCTCCCCCGTTGGTCATCTTTTCTTTTATTGGGAATTAGGGCAATACCAGCTACCGCACTGTCGGCGCCGGGAAGATGCACGTCAACGCCAGGGGGGGGGGGGGGGGGGGGGGGGAAAAAA